CCGACCACAAACAATACACGTTGTCAACAAGCCGACCTCGAGCTCAATACAAGCTCAAGCTGAGTTTGTGTGACCTTCAGTTCGAGCTTAAGCTTGGCCCAACAAAGCTTACGAGCTACTCCCTCCGTCCTTAAAAAAAACAATCTAATAGAAGATGTGATGTGACCTCTCCTAGTCCAACGAATTTAAATTAGATATTCCTTTATCTAAATTCATTGTACTAGAAAGGGGTCACATCCTCTTCTAGGTTGGTTTCTTTTAGAACGGATGGAGTATGGCACAAGCTCAGGCTCGGCTTTTTTGGAGCTCGAATCGAACCTAAAATAAATCGAGTTTAACGGGATCAGGAGTGTAAAGTTTTGGCGTGTCACATCGGGTATTATATAGAGTGTCACATAGGGTGTTCGGGCACTAGTAAAAAAACTAATTACCGAATCTTTCAGTAAACCGCGAGACGAATTTATTAAGCCTAATTAATCCATCATTAGCAAATCTTTACTGTAGCAACATTGTCAAATCATGGAGCAATTAGGTTTAAAAGATTCGTCTTATAAATTAGTCGCAATCTGTGCAATTAGTTATTTTTTAGCCTATATTTAATACTTCATGTAGGTGTTTAAACGTTCGATGTGACAGGATGAAAAATTTTAAAATAGGATGCCTAAGTTGTTCACGAGTCTCGAGCTTTTTTTTTTTTTTTTAAATAGTCATAGTGACCTTGGCGGACGCGCACATACGAGATGAGCGCCGCGAGAAGGGCCGAAACTGTGATGCCGTAGAAACATACGTACGTTGCAGCAAAATCCAATATGGGGAATAGCTAGCTAGAGATCGAGCATTACGAAGGGTTAGGTGTGCTATATAAGGGCGGCGGGCCCAGTAATGATTCAAGAGTATTCAAATGTATATGCAAAATTTTTGGATAAAAAATATGTATTTATATTCTATATTTTGTTGACAAAAATATGTATATGTACTTCATATATGTATTGAAAAATACAGAAAAAACCTTAAACTACTCATCTTGGGTCCTATTTCACCATTTCTTCTCTATTAGGCCCAAATTTCCCACTCCACTCCCTCTTTCCTCTCAGCCCACAATAAGGGTGTGTTTGAGGAGAAGGAGATTGGGGAGATTAGAAAGATACACAAAACGAGGTGAGCCATTAGCGTATGATTAATTGAGTATTAACTATTTTAAATTTCAAAAATGGATTAATATGACTTTTTAAAGCAACTTTCCTATAGAAATTTTTTGCAAAAAATATACCGTTTAGTAGTTTAGGAAGCGTGCGCGCAGAAAACGAGATGCTTTCTCACCCTATATCACACAAACGAACGCAGCCTAAGTTTGGGCTACAACTCAGTCCATTCGGCTATATGCTATATGTTAAAATACATCAATTCATTTCATGGCCAATTCTATGAATTTATGAAAATGCTTATAGCCATTACATATTATATAGTTTAGAAATATACGAAACTATACATACATATCATTTATTAGTCTTGATATTATACTCTTCAATCCCTAAATATTTGACGCCGTTGACTTTTTAAAATATGTTTGACCATTCATCTTATTTTAAAAAAATTAAATAATTATTAATACTTTTCCTATCATTTGATTCATTGATAAATATAATTTTATGTAATATAGTTTTACATATTTCACTTAAGTTTTTGAATAAGACAAATGGTCAGGCATGTTTAAAAAAGTCAACAACGTCAAATATTTAGGAACGAAGGGAGTATTTTTATTGTCCATCCTATTTCGAATACCCAACCTAAAAATCCTGGGTCTGCCCATAAAAGGCTGTGATTTTGCTATGTCTCACTTGAAAGATTTTTTTTCTTATCTCTCACTCGATTTTCTCACTCAAATTTACAGTGCATTTTCTTTTAAGTTACCGTGTAATTTATGAAACTTACATTGTAACTTTTGTAAGTTACAGTGTAATTTTTAATCTCCGTATGTAATTTTTGAAATTTATATTGGATTTGGTCTTTTTCTTGTAGATATTGTAATTTAGTGTCCATTACGCGGTGTTTCTTAGTTGTTTTTTGCCTTTTAATTTGTCTATTGGATTTTAATCCAAAGATTAAAAATTTGTGTGATATGATCATAAAATTTTTTTCGAAAGATGCATAGGTACTCCCCTAAATCCTATACCTATACTACAGTTGTGCTACAATTTAATTTATTTTCCCAACATAAATTAGTTAATACTTGACTACGACTCTTCATCAAGTCCGATACTTGAGTCAAATTAACAAACACTGCAGAGTCAGGTGGATCAGGAAACGCCTTAATTAATTAGTTAGTTAAACGGAAAAGAAGACAAACTCTGCAGTATATGTGTGCTGCCACTTGCTGTTTTAACTTTTAACTACTAGTACCACTATGAGGAGTCGATTTCAGATGATTAGGTCAATTGCCTAGGTAATAATATCTTGATTTAAATTCATAGATCGCGACGATGGACATGAGGCTCAAGATGTGGTCTTGGGATACGAACTCCACACATGTCAGATATACTATATTTACATATTCCAATTTCAATGTACTATGCATCACTGCTAATCGACTTGAACCCTGTGGGAAACAAGACAAACTCTACGGTATGTGTGCTGCCACTTGCTGTTTTAACTACCAGTACTATTATGAGGGATCGATTTCAGATGATTAAGTAAATTGCCTAGGTAATATATCTTGATTTAAATTCATAGATTGAGACGATGGACATGAGGCTCAAGATGTGATCTTGAGATACGAACTCCACACATGTCAGATATACTATATTTCATATTCCAATTTCAATGTACTATGCATCACTGCTAATCGACTTGGACCCTGTGATATAGGTACTAACAATGTGATGCCGTTTACTAGCTTAGAGCTAGTTTAATAGAAAAAGGGGCTCTAATTTTAGAGCCCTTTTAAAGTGCTCCATATCGTTGATAGTTAATCTTTTATTTTTGTAATTTAAAATATGTTTTGAATGTCTCAGTAAATAAATATATGAATGGTGCACGTAAGATACATCCCAAATTAGTCATGAATGGTAGAAATTAGTCTTGCCTCCACAGGGTCTTCGCCACATCCTATTAGGCTTAGATATCAATTAGGATTTAAGACACCTTGAGCCCTAGTAAGGAAAGACTAAAATAGCCTTACTTGGACTCGGTTTGACCGGCCGTATACCTGATGTAAGTTCACCCTCCGATCTGACTAACGGCAGTCAGGCCGGCCTCCTCTAAGTTCTGGTTTATTCCAAATCTGGCCTAAACTTCTTATAAATTTGTTCTCGTGTCAAATTTGGTTGTTAACACTTGGTCCTTACATAGAGAATGTCTTTCTTACACACACACTTGAGCCTAAATGTTATATTAGGATTAGTGCTTAAAGTCTTGTTATACATGCTCTTATAACAAGTCTATTAACAGTATGAGATAATTATAATATATAGCTACATCCTACAAGCCATCGAAAGATAGTATTTGAGATAACAAGTACAAAAGTATATATTACTAGATATTATCCCATGCATTGCTGCAGAAACATACAGCCAAATAATTTGATTGTAGATGAGAATTGGCCATTAGCATGAATGGATGCATATGAACAAAAACGATGGATGTATATATTGTGATTGCAGTAGACTCAATTAGTATGGAAAGGTCGCTTAAGCATAAGAGACCACAGACCACAGCCTACTTAATTTGTTGCAATCTCTAATAGAGGGAACATATATGTATAATGGGAAAGTTATAAAGATAATACTACCTCCTTCCTAAAATATAAGAATTTACAATTGGATTGGAGTTTGTCCAGATTCGTAGTTCTAGGAAAGGTCTCCTCTCATCCTTGGTTCTTATATTCTGGGACAAAGAAAGTATTCCCTCCATACTCGTAAAGGAAGTCGTTTAGGACAATGTTTAAGTCAAACTTTGAGAATATAAATTATGAATAACTCTCAAATTATTGAGTTTGAAAATGTAAAAAATATATGAATAGATTGGTTTTGAAAAATATTCATAAAAGTATACATATATCACTTTTTAATAAATATTTTTATAGAAATAAGAAATCAAAGTTGTGTTTTGGAAACCGTGTCGCTGTCCTAAACGACTTCCTTTACGAGTATAGAGGGAGTAATAGTTAAAACTCCTGGAATTTATTCACTGAACTTATTTTAAAGGTTGATGAAAAGTTAAAGGTTCTGACAAAAGTTTCTTGGTTTTTTATATACAAGTTTTGGATGTTCAAATTTTGGAGAAAGGTTCTATTATTCGAGTTGAAAGTTTGAATTTGTTCAGATGAAAGTTTTATCTCTGACTTTATTTTGGAATCCTTTTTGCGTTCTAAATTGATCTAAGTTTTCAATAGAAAGCCTCAGAGTTGAAAGTGTGTTCTGTTTATGGATGAAAGTTTCAAATACATGCAAGGGATTGGAATGGGATGGTGGGGGGAAAAAAAGCTCTTAGTGAGCCCATCTCAGATCGACTTGAGCTCATAGTAAGAATGAGTCAAGCTAATTAAGCTAGTGTTTTAGCTGGTGAGCTTAATGACCCAGCTCATGAGCTGCTTGTTTAGCTAGATAGGACAAGAGATAATCATACCTTTTTACATACTCAGTGCATGTTATGATGTTAAATAATGGTTAGTCTTTAATTACATCTGTATTTAGTAAGATGTTTATTTGTTAGCGTTTATTGTTATGTTAGTATATGATAATAGTACATTAGGGCATTCCCAACCCAATGACTAGGATGGTGTCTATAGCATTAAATAAGCTGCCACCTAGGATGAAAAATGATGTGGCAAGTGAATAAATAAGAAAAGAGAAGAAAACCATGTCTTGCATGAGACATGGTTTCTACACATCATCCAAGACATTATGTGAGATAAGTAGCATTAAATTTAAGTATGAAATAGTAGTGTTTGCATTGGAAGAGTAGTATCTAGTACTAGTTTTTTTGATGATGTGGAGTTTATAGAAACTATGTCTAGTGTCTTGGGTTGGGAATGTCCTTATTGAGTTTGTAATTATAAAGGTGACATAAATGCGTTAACGTGTTAGGTCCTGAGATGAGTACTTATGCTTCTAGTAACTCGTTAAAATTAACGAGCCACCCCCCACCCCCCTGTCGCCGTGTAAGAGGACCCCATTATAATGTCCAGCTCCATATGCTTAGTGGATACACAAGTTTAAAAATTAGCTGTACCACTTGCTGCTAGCTTGTGCCTCGGAGCCAAACACATAGCATAGATCTAGAGACACAGCAGATAGAGATAGAGAGATGGCAGAGCTCGCCATTGGTATCTCCAGGACGGCGCTTGAGGAGTTGGTGAACAAGTTGAAGTCAGTCATCAAGGAGGAGGAGGAGCAGTGGCAGACTATGCACCGTGATGTGGTGTTCATCAGAGATGAGTTCGAGATGATGCAGTCGTTCCTCAACTCTGCCGATGGGGAGGTGGTGAAGAGCAGTATGGCGAGGACCTGGGTGAGGCAGGTCCGAAACCTGTCCTATGATCTTGAGGACTGTATCGAGTTCATCCTGCATCTGGACACAAATAAGCGGTCATGGTGGCTCCGGTTGCTGCAGTCCTGGAGCTGCGGCAAGGGAGGAGTATCGCTGCCAGTGGATGAAGCGGTCACCGAGATGAAAAAGCTCAAGGCCCGCGTCGAGGACGTGAGCCAGAGGAACACACGCTACAGGTTCACCAATGACCTCACGCAGCATCAGCAACAGTTGGTGTCGTCCGGCTCCGCCACTGGCGGTGGCGCACCAGGATTTGACATCCTCGCTGAGGCGAGGGACACCGCGGCAAGGCGCAAGGGTGTAGTTGACCTCATCAAGTTGATCACCGAGAAAAGCAACGATCTTCGAGTGATCTCGTTGTGGGGAACCGGAGATGATCTTGGGACGATGTCCATCGTCAGGAACATGTATGATGATTCAAGAATACACGACAACTTCAGATGCCGTGCCTGGGTCAAGGTGGCGCATCCCATCAATCCCCATGAGTTGGTCAGGAGCTTGGTGGTTCAGTTTTATGCAAACTCTTGCCAACAACAGCTACCTGCTGCTACAGATGCACTTTCGTGGTTTTCTCTAAAATATAAAAAACAAAGAGATGCCCTGTCGTCGTCGGAAACGTCGACGGGAGAACTAGTCAAGGAGTTCTTGCGGCATGTCGACACACACCGGTACCTCATCATCCTGGAAGACCTATCGACCATGGTGCAGTGGGATGCCATCTGGCCCTACCTGCGGGGAGGCAAGAATGGAAGTCGTGTCCTTGTGTCAACGCGCCATCATGAAATCGCAAGCCTGTGCACGGGGAAGCCTCACCGAGTATTGGAGCTCCAGAGGATCTCAATTCATCAGTCTATCTGCATCTTTTTCAAAGAGGTAACATCAAACATCTTCAATTGCTTTTCCAGACAATTTTACTTCATACTCACCTCATCCCAAAATAAGTTCATTTTTGTCTCATCTTTTTTCCTAAAATAAATTTACTTTTTTTTAACAATCATCGTATTGGAATTTGTGAAAGCAAGGGTGTGTTTGGTTAGAAGGATATCATTGGATGGGAGATGGCGATCTAGTTTTTAAGTGTGTTTATACTACTGGAGAAAAGATCTTTGCTGGGTCACACAAAAATCACATTATTCCCGGTTTGAGCGGTTCAAAAATATGTCGGACCCCCACTATCTTTACTCCCGGTTGGTGTTACCAACCAGGACGGGACTAAAGATTCATCTTTAGTCCCGGTTATTTGTACCAACCAGGGCCCAAACTCTAAAAACCGTGAAAACTTCTGAGCTGCGTGCGCTGTGCCTCTCGTCCTCCCCGCCACCTCGTCCTTATCCCCTCCTCTCCTCCTCCCCTCTCAATTTCTCTCCTCTCCTCCCCTCCCTCCTTCCCCTCTCCTCCCCCTCCCCGCTCCTTCAACGATGGCGATGGTGACCAGGAGGCGGCAGTCGGGCGCCAGATCCGGCCAGGCGGTGGTGGCCAGGAGGCACTTGCCGGGAGGCTGCGCCAGCATCAGGCAGCAGTGGCCGAGTGGCAATGGCCGGTTGGTTTTGTGATTTTTGTTTAGATTTTTGGAATGATTTGTAAACTTTTTTGTTGATTATTTTGGATTTGGGATGATTTTGTGAATGACTTGTGGATTGTGGATGATTTTTTGGATGGGCAATTGTGGATGACTTGTTGTGCATGATTTGTGGGGATTTGAGGGTGACAATTAATGCAAGTAGAAAGAAATAATGGAAAACGAAGAAAAAAACTAACCAACCGGGACTAAAGATCTATCTTTACTCCCGGTTATTTTAACCGGGACTAAAGATAGGCATGTTTAGCCTTGTATTGAGTGTCTCAATTTGCAACCTGAGACTAAAGGGGGTTGCAAACCGGGAGTAAAGAGGCTTTCCCCAGTAGTGTTAGTTGGTGGGCAAGAATGGATAAGGCGTCCTAGAGAGGGAATATTCCATGAAGATGCTGGATGAGTGTATCCAGCTAAATTGGCCAGATGAGGATATCCACATTTGCTAATCCTGATCATTAGTAATTGATTAGCAATAATTAACGTATTATGTTGTTAATTAGTAATTAACTGGTCAAAATTAGTGTTGATTAGATACAGTTACTCTATTTTGTTGTTAATTAGTATAAATTATGGATATATTAATGATAATTAACTTTTATTATTAATTAATATGTTATTGTTTTCGTTCAATCCATTCTCATCCACCCAACCAAACAAAAAACTGCACCACCATATCCTCGAAAATATAGATGACCATATCATATCCAACCTTGACTACGAACCAACCACACCCTAAGTGATACTCCCTCCATCCCATTTTGATCATCACCTAAGTAAAGAGCACAGAGACTGTTGATGGTCGTTAGCGATCAGTTTCAACCGTTAATACTACCAAAATAAAGGAGAACTACTTATGCTTGCAATGCATATTTGTGTTAGAATAATAATATTCCACTAGTATTAGGGTTACTAACATCTTGCAGAGAATAAGCATAAAATGGAGGAGAATCGACATCAAACCAGACGATAAATCAATCGGACAATGTCGAGAATCAGACTTATGCATGAATGGGCCAAGAACTCAGAAATGACACATCGAATTGGGCCAAAATTCACAAGTCTGCGGAGAAGAGCAAAAGAGGAGGCCACCTGTCGAAACTGAGCCAGGGAGGCCCAACCCATGGGTTCGGCCGAACCCTCCCTAGCGCCGTTGGATGCAGGGCTTCTTCTGGACGGTGTGGATTGCCTCCCTATGGCGGTTGGAGGGTATTACCGATCTTTCCAACCGCCATAACTGTCATTACCTGCCTATTTAAGGAGCTCACTCTCTTCATTTCAACACACACCTCAAGCAAAGTTCTCTCATACTCTCTCAAGCTTAGTTTAGTATTCTCAAGCTAGTGGAGTAGGAATAGAATAGAAATCAGAGTCCGAAAGTCTTCGGAAGAGTTTGGGTATGGCTCTAGTAGCTCTCCTTTCTTCTTTTGTAAGACTTGTATTTTATTTAGAATATCCTTATTTATACAACTTTGGTATTGTAATACTTTCCAAGTATATGAATGCCAACTTTACTTTAATCCAAGTTATATTGATTATACTGTTAGCTTATCTAGGAGATGCGTAGGTACGGGTATAGTGTTTGCTTATGCAATTACTCTATATCATGACGATGATATTAGAGTAGTATCTGGTAGTTTAGGCATGGTGTCTAGATTATTGGGTATCATTATTTGGGATTGATGGTGACAGCTCAGTACGGGTATTCCTCCGCGCGTGTATATAATCCTAAGTTAATTTCCTGGGGAGGGTACTCCTCCGTATTTAGCCCTAGTTGTATAGTCATAATGGGCTGTCATAAGGAACTCGGCAGTCAGGGGTGGCTTCTCGAAGTACTAGGAGGGCATCGGAAAGAGGGTATTAGCTAGTTAGTCTTATAGCTAGGATGTATGTATAATATGTATACTAGAAATATAGGAATATATTCTTTTCTGTTTTCTTTCCACTTAGCTTAGATAGTTTAATATGAGAATGAGTAGTCTTATGCTTGTGTGTCATTCTACCCTATGCTTATATTAACCCTTGCTTAGACTATGGTTATTACAAGTAATATACAAATTATTAGTACGGTTCTCTCTACTATAATTTTCCCACGGGATTAAACAAATAAGATACCCTTGGAATACTCTTAGGTGAAATGCTACAATGGTATATCCGTGCATTTGCGGATAATCTCTGTAACTATAATATACCAGGAGTATTTCTGCGCCATTGCTGGGAATTGTATTTCTAGTAATATCGTTAAGAAATACCAACAGAGACCAAGGACAATAAAAAATTCATCATTCTATAATTAATTCTCATTAATTAAGGTGCTATGTCATTTCGTGTTCCGTGGATTGCATCAAATTTTAAATATTGCATGTAGTTAGACCAATAAAAATTAATCTTGGTTGGCAATGCATTCAACGATGCTCATTTACTCTTGGCACAAATAAACAAATATGCACTTGTTAGAGGAAGATTATTTTGGGAAGGCAAAACCTTATGTTATGTTCAAACTGGGATAGAAGGAGTAATTGCCTTGGAACTAGATAAAGTAGAAGATAATTTCATTGAGATTTGATAAAGTGAAGGTATTCTAGTTTTTTTATATTTTATCAACTTCTAAGATCATTTGATTTTTGGAGAGAGCTACCTATGTCGTCTTCCTTTTCATTCTTAGGATCAGTTACATTAAAAAAACATGTGCACCATGATTAGCAAGTACCCATAGGTTATCTTTCTAGCCTACATTACAGAGGTCAACAATTGTCACCATAGTTATCTACAAACACGCCATTTGAGTATTTGACCCATCAACACTAGGGATCTGCATGTTCAGTCCACAGTCAAGTTCCTTGGTTTCTTCTATGAATCTATGGCATGTGCTCTTTTGTCCCATTGTGTTGATTGCCACACCACTGTTTTGGCTCTTCTTGTCCTTTGAATTGATGTAAAACATGTTACTTGGCATGAGGTGACTACTCTATGGCCCACATGTCAACATTTTCATAGTTATCTTCTGTGTGGTTTCTTCATCTATTGGGTTTTGGTCCTTGGACCATTCAGTGAAGGCATGCTTGTGCACTTTAATGATCCAAGCATCCAAGATTTGGAGATCTTATCTAGATCATGTGTTGATTGATGTACGGTTCAACTATTGTAAGCTTTTACATGACGTTGTAATGTGTTTCTTGTAATGTGCTTTCTAATCCTCATGATGAATTTATTTTTTCCTTTTGTCCCCTTTTCAGACAATCTTTCCTCACGTCGAGATATTGGTAAACCAATTATTTTTATATCTTCCAAGTAGTCTATGCAACACCCAATAACTTCTTTGATAATGTATACCTCTATCATCGATCCCTCCAGAGGAGCACAATTCCATACACAGGCCTTGAGAATGGACATGATCCGTTTGTGCGTCCACCTTTTATGTAAGTACAAAGACCAAGTGAAATTATCTTAGGCACAATTTGAACTATGAGATGTTGCTATTTCTTAATGTCACAGATAGAATCTACAAGCGCATGGAAAATATCGATGTAGCCTTCACCCGGGAGTATTCCAAGGTTCGTCCAAGGACACGAAGCTAAAGTAGGCAAAGGGTACATAGGATTTACTAGTGAGAGACAATGTCTACAGAAAGCTCAATTTAATCCTAACAAGGTACTTCGGGTGCTGGCTAGCCCGCTGCTCGCAGATATGGCTCTACAACGTACCTGGACAGGAAGGACTTCAGTGTTTTGAGGGCTATCACCACTTCTACACCCACCTCAAACCTACAGTGGGATACAAAGCAAACACCGAAAATTAACTACCCAGACACCACGTCTACGCAGTTTAATAACTACTTTAATGTTAGCTAAACATTAAAGCAACCACTATACATTGATGGGTTATAGTGATCAGTGATCCCGTACATTGATTAGCAACTAACTAAGAGGTAACTCTCACAGAATAAATCTTAAATACTTGGAATGATATTAGATTAAAGCAGAGTACTTACCAGAGTAAAAGAAACGAGAGAAGTATTACCGACAACCCCGGAATTCCTCCGACTTCTTCTACTCTACTCTCTCCCTAATTCTAGTATATAAAATAGTACAATAGAGCTTCTTATAATTCAGCTCAAGCTTCAAAGTGCGTGTTGAGAGTGAAGAAGGTGAAGTCTATTTATAGGACAGGTATGACGATTATTCTGATACGAATTGTCCTTTCTGCCCTTAAACCGCCATCAGGAGGTGATTTGGACCGTCCATGCCGAAACCTGGATCAAACGGCCACGAGAGTGGTTCGGCCGAACCCTGGCCTGGCCCAACAGGGCCAGGACTTGGCCTGTTGCTCCTCCCTGCTCTGCCTTATCCAATTCTCCGAGTATTTGGCCCATTTGATGATATTTCTGTGTAGTTCCTGGCCCACTCGTTGTATGGATAGGATTCTTATCTTCACTTAAGTCTGATTTTCATCCCAACTTCGGCGGTTTATTACCTGCATTCAAATATACACCAACACTCGTGGAATATGTTAGAATTAAACCCTATTACTATGTTGGATCTTTTATTTCTTTTGTTTATGCAGGTATTGGTGACATAAAATTGGCATGTAACAGCCGCCAACACACAACCATATCAAAAAAGGATCGAGGGAAGCACATCTTAAAGTGACACAGTCTCTTTCAATAATACCCAAAGAGGACCTAATTCTTTAGAACCGATGACCTTCTAGGAACTTCCATTAACACATTCTTGTGATGACCACCTATACATGTGTTGGTCCACAAAAATCAAGAGTGAGATGTTTTTACCAAACTGATGTAACACCCATATGTCGCGGCGTTAGCAGCAAAACTTAATACCATAAAAACCCTAATTGTGAAAACTTTGACTTTGATTGTGGTCTCATTGCGTGTGCCAAGATCTCCATCCAATATGCAGTGATCAACTCAATTTCCACTTCAATTTCCAAATCAAATTCAAATTCCAATCCAACTACCTCACAGAGCACACTTTCTGGAAAGTCTATTTCCCCTCCCTCTATCACTGGGTTGCATTTTCTACTTTCGTCAGGGCCGTCTCTCTCTCTCTCTCTCTTTCTCTCTCTCTCTCCCCCCCAGCCCAACTCCCTCATGTCCGCATCCTGTTGTTGGTCCATGGGACCCCTCCAGTTGGCAAAAGGTGGCCTTGAGTCATCTTTAGAAATGCCCTATCACGAAAGCTTCAAAATCACTAGACAAGGTTGTTCTACACTAGCTGGATGACGTGGGTTGGTAGCATCATGTGGGTAAAGTGTACCCCTCTACAGAGGTTAACAAACTGTTCAAACAGCCGTGCCCACGGTCATGGGCAGATGTGAGATTATTCCTTAGCGTAGTTTTGTTTGACTATTGCTTTGTGAAATTATTGTTGCGGTTTGGGAACCATTTTGAAATGATTTGAGGTTGTCAGGAGCAGCTGGACTCGGGAAGTCCACTTATATGTTTGGTTTGGGGCCATCTCTGCAAAACAATCAATGGTACATCTCACTGCTCCAAATGAGTAAGACATACTCTCACTCCGATAGTTAAGAAGCACTCATTTAGTAGATTCAAAAGCTTTAGGGTGTGTTTGGTTGAGCTATGGTTTTTGGAAAAGCTGCTGCGAGCTGTGGGCTGTGGAAAAGCAGCTATAGAAAATCAACTGTGGGAAAAGCAGAAGCCCATTTAGTTAAAGTAGCTCTAAAACTCTAGGTTGTGAAAGAAATACCTGTAATGCCCCTAAAGGCCTGTGGGACTGTTTATATGCAAATTACTCGTACAAACCTAATCTGTTCAATATTTTATATTTAAAAGGCCAATTTGTAAAGTAAAAATTTATAAGTTTTTCATCCATCAAAGTTTTTCATCAAAATATATTAGTTTTTAATCCATCAAAGTGATATGATCGACACAAACAGAGCAAAAGATAAATGGTTCATACAATGATGCCATATCTCAAAATAACTATCCTCCTCTTGAACTAATCAAAGCATCAGCTATCCTAGCACGAATAGTATTCATGGTATCATCATTCTTTGCATCTTCACTCTCATCGTCTGGCGTGTCACTTGTATCTTGTAGTAAGTAGTCCTCATCAGCATCACATCTCTCAAACTCCTTATAACGTAAATTGCTATCATGGACGAAGTTATGCAAAGCAAGACAAGCCATGATGATATGCTTCTGAGTAGTAGGTGGGAAACTTGGGATGCCCTTCAAAATACGCCACTTTTGCTTCAAGACTCCAAAAGACCTTTTAATGACATTTTGAAGGGAGGAATGCAAGAAATTGAACACCTCGTACTTTCCTTGAGGAGATCCCGAATGATGCCGAAATTCTGGTATATGGTATGTGGCTCCTTTGAAAGGTGCAAGATACCCTATTCGGTTTGGATAACCCAAGTCGACGAGATAATATTTTCCTATAAAACTAAGTTAGTAATGCAAATAATAATACTAGTGTACAAATATTAAAATTAATGAAGGAACCATTTATACCTGTAGGAGGCATGGGAAATGAAGGAAAGTTTGCCAATGCATGACTGAGGATGCGCGAGTCATGTGCAAAACCTGGCCAACCAGCAACCGCAAAGGTAAACCTCATGTCAAAGACACAAATAGCTAGCACATTCTGCGATGTATATCCATGACGGCATGTGTGGCTAATCGTTTCATCCACTGGCACTACCACTAGAATATGTGAACCATCTATTGCTCCAATCGCATCTTTGAAGTATGGCCAAAATCGATCCTCTCTCAACCTTTCATGCTCCATAGAAAAATTAGGATCTCTAGGAGTAATATTGTCTTTAGCTAACTTGCGCAAACACTTCAACACTTCATGAAACTTGGTGTGAACCGTCCAAAGTGACCGTGTGAAACAACTTTCAGCTTGTGAAAATGATTGTGGCCCTCCGACGATCCACAGAAACATCGCCAATGACTCAATGGATGAAACATTGTTGCTCGAGCTCAATCCGTAGGTAGAGACTAGCAAGTCATGGAAGTGCATGAAAAATCTCAGGGCTCATCCGAAACATCTTATAAAAATACCTTGTACGATCCATCAACCTCATCACCCATTGAATTCCAGTTTTTGGCGTTAGTCTGTATGCACCTTTTTGCAAATACCGCTCAGTGTACAAATTGCCCATTTCTCCCATAACAGCAGCATGTTGGGCAAGTTCAGTTAGCATCAGTAATCCCTTTTGTCCTTCTTTGACTACATCTACCAATTTTCCATCCATCTACAGAAGATATAGTAATAATTAAAGGCAACAACATATGGACAACAACAAAACATTATAAGGACAACAACATAACAGTACACAACAACGAGTACAGAACATAACATCACATAGGGAAGCAAATATTGGTTCACAACATGAAAATAATTGTTTTACATGTCCAAGCAAATATTGGTTGACAACATGGAAATAAATAACATCACATAGGGAAGCAAATGGTTCTCACATAGGACATAAACAAGGCAACAATCGATAGAAATAAAATTTCAACGCAAAGGAATCACTAATGCTTCGTCATCTCCTTTTCATGCTCCCTCTCGATCAAATCGAGTCTTCCTTTATTTGTTTCTAGATAGCTAAAGACCTCTCTAAATTCAGGCTTCATAATCAAAGTTGTGGATGTGTGCATTAGAGCAGTTTTTTCTTCTACCCCACAATCTTTCACCATATTCATAGCCTCTTTAATGATAGGGACTACATTGCATGGAGAAGCTAATGATGCTTCAATACTTGTAGAGATCTTCTCTGTTGCCGTTTCTATCTTCAAACAAGTGTTCTTGTACATACGAGCAAATGGGATCTTCTCATCCTTGTCTCTAACAACAGTGGATGACCCCTTGCGTTTATTTTTCCCGGGTTCACTGTCTTCTCAGCCTTCTCTGCAGGTTTGGGTACCTCAGCCATATCCTCATCACTTGCCTCATCGGAGGATACATCTCTAGGACATGATGCTGAAGCCCCATTAACATGTGACTTGCCAAAAATGATACGCAGATCATCTAGGAATTTTGGTCCTTGTTTTCGAAACTTCACATGATTGCATTTGATTCCTTTCTCACGATTGTTGCATCTCTGAAATTAAATAAATAACATTAATAAGGCACACTACAACAAAGAATAGAAAAAAATATTTACAGTGAAAGAATAATCCTTACAGCAAGGTGTTCGTCCCACCATTCCGCCGAACAGACAATAGTTTGTTTCGCCTCATCCCATCCAAGACTAGTGGCACAATTCTTGAACTCCATAAACATTGAATATTCCTTTTTCAGCACATCTAATTTGTTCTTCAATTGCTTTTTAGTTCGCTTGTCACCCGATTTTTTTTGCAAACTTGGAAACAATATTTTTCCAACCTGTAGTGGTGAAAATTCCCATGGGTCTATTCCCAGCTTCTATCTCTTATTTGCAGACATCAAACAATGCCTTACAAAACCATCACCCCATTCTGCCTTGTCACCCATTCTTGAACCGAATAATTTTTTGTTCAATCAATAATTTATAGGCCAAAAATGAATTTGCTATAACATTCTACTCACAGCACATGAATCAAGATGGTATTATTTATATTTTCACATAGAATCAACACAATGGATTATTACTTCTATGGACTGTCATCTCGATATATTGCTGAACATTCAATTGGAAATATCATTGGAGTTGTCTGCTTATAGAAGCCTCACATGCTCTACTACCGTTTCTCTGCTGGCGTCGGGCGGGGACGGGCAGGGTCGGTGTCGGGCATGTCGGCTGGGGACGAGCAGGGATCGTCGTTGGCCGGGACGAGCAGGGGTCGGCGTCGGGCGGCGGCGGCGTTGGCTGGGGCCGAGCAGGGGTCGGCGTCGGGCGGTGGTGGCGTCGAGTGGGGCGGTGCTGGGCGGGGACGAGCGGCAGCGCCATCGGGTGGGGCGGTGTCGAGCGGGGACCAGCAGGCGGCGGCAAGCGGGGCCAGACGGGCGGCGGTCGGCCGGGGGAGCTGGCGGCGAAACCCTAGATCGAGCATCCCTTCGGCCCCCGCGCTGCGCTCCACCCCACTCCTGCGATTCCTCACGCGAGAGGAGATGGGTAATAGATTAGCGAACAGTTTTTTTTCATAATGGTAGAGGTGAGTAATTTTTTCCCTCAAAAGCCAGTGAAAGCAGGGGTAGGGGTGCTTTTGGATTTGTGCTACACTAAAAGCATCTTTGGAGCAAAAGCACTTATAGCTTTTGGACCCTTTGGTTGGCTTTTCACTTTTGCAAAAGCAAAAGCAGGTTGAGAAACCCAACCAAACACACCCTTAAAGTAAAAATGACTTGAAAAACAACCAGCCTTTCTCTGAAGCTTGCAATAAATACTTAAGTTCTCAAGGCTTGTTGAGTACGCTAGTACTCACCCTTGCTCTATATGAATAAAAATCCCTTCCCCTTCTTAAGAGGAGGAGATCTATCTAGCCGACAAGGAGTTCTTCTAGGAGCAGGCGGGCTTCGACTAGTTTTAGGGTTTTGGCTTAGTCCCAAGTCACGCTAGTTGTTTTGGGCTAGTCCTCGCTCTCGTTTCTTTTGCAATGTGTCATTGAACTCGGGGTATGCCCACAGTTCCAACATGTCTAAGATTATTCATATTAATATAATCCATATTCGCTATGATATGCTATCTTCCTATGGTATCAGTTCTATTTTTCTGGTATAGGTTAATTTGGAACGTCTTAGGTCGGTCTGCTGTCGGAGGCTAGTCTGGGGAGTGACAACTATCAAGTCTAATTATTTTCCTCTTTTAGCCACTGTGGTGGGAGGACCATCTCTTAAAATTATATGATATTTCCTCTGTCCTAAATATAGCAATTTACAGGATACAAAATTTGTATCAAAATATAATTTCTCCACATGCGTACTCTTCTCGATCAATCACAACATTATACTATTGAATTCCACCTACATATGTCCAGCCTCAAAAGTTAATCTATTGTAGGATAGTTTTATGAAACCAAATGAAAACCCGCGCGTTGCTGCAAAAGTTTCGTACGATAATAGTAGAAATAATATGTAAGGTAGCTAGACGATATGATTATATAATACTTTATACAATTTTCATCTTTGACCAACTATTGAAGAAAAAGTTATGAACAATTAAGATGGTATGGTTTATAACAATTGAAATCATATATAGATTAATCATTCAAAGGTAAAACTACAATGATTTGGCTCAATGAGAGAAGGAAAAGAAGGGACATAATATAGATTAATCATTGAAAGGTAAAACTAAGGTGATATGACTTTATTAGAGAAGAAAAGAAGTGAGATAATTTGAACCATGGATCAATCATCTAAGGGCTAAAAATAATTGAGGTGATGAGATTTAATGAGAAGAAAAAAAAATAGCATTAACTATATTATGCTCGGCCAGACAATTGTCTGTCTATGAAAGACTGAGCTTAAAAGCCAAAGATAAAGTCTTACCTAGCTAGCTAGGAGCTACCCTCAAGATTCTCGAGTTGCAAGTTGAGTTATATGGGTTCTCCTGTGAAATAGGTGTCCAAACGATTCCTACCGCTACCTTTGATCCGTTTTAAAATACTTGACACTTTTGACTTTGATGTTAATTGTGCACGTGGGTCTCGATGCTGACCTTGTTTGTTGGTTTTCTGATCCATATTTCCTTTCATTTACAGTGTTCTGTACCTGCTGAAGCTGAAAAGGAAGGTGGTGTCCCAACACCGAAACATGTCGATTGGTCGGGCAAGAATCGACTTATTATTGGGCGCGATTCGGAAGTCGATAAACTTTTCAACCTGATAAAGGATCGATCTCACACCAACACACCTCACGTGGTCTCCGTTTGGGGAATTCCTGGTACTGGGAGGACAGCTTTGGTTAGCAATGTCTACTACCGCTGCTACTACGACACGCAGTTTGATCGTCAGACGACAGTCAATATGCCCCAGCCATACAATCTCAGGGGCTTTTGCCGGTGCTTGCTAGTATCTGGTTTGGATTCAGGATTATCACTGATCCAACGACGCGAAGATCCCATCCAACAATGCCGGGAGATCCTGCATAGGGACAGGTGCCTTGTCATTATTGATGAGGTGCACTCTAAGGAAGACTGGGACTCAATTACAGATGCTAACTTGATAACTGCAACAAGTAAAAGTTGCATCGTTGTGATTACGACTCAAGAAAGCGTCGCCGTGCACTGCGCAGGGGCAAACGGTCTAGTGTGCAGCATTACATGTCTCCAAGCTACGGCAGCCTCTGATCTCTTTCAGCAGGTGTGTTGTTGTGTCTACTCATTTAATTTAATTTAATTTCTCTCCTCTGGTCAGTACTCCTTCTATCCCACAATATAACATAGAAGATTATACCTTTCCAATTTATCCTACCATATACTCCCTCCAACCCAAAAAATATAAGACACAACCACTACTATTATGTAAAGATCAATAAAGAATTTAATCATCTTCTCGGTTGGATCGTCTCGATGCATGCATGAAATATGATTTGGAGCTTGATCGATGGTAGGCGATTTAAATATATGCATAGTTCAAATATGCATGCATGTAAAAAATAGGTGTGGCTTATATCTATCTATTATATTATTATACGAATAAAAAAAGGAGCCTCCACGTTCGCTCTCATGGCATAAAAATTCTCACATTAATCGAAGAAAAAGAAAAGACAGAGTCCATATAGAAATACAATTTAGAAATAGCTGAAATTCAGAATTAAAAAATAAAGAATATAAGAAGAGGAGACTAGAGTTCATATAGAAATACAATTTAGAAATAGTTAAAATTTGGAATTAAAAAATAAGAAATATTAGAAGAGGAGACTAAAGTCCATATAGAAATACAATTAGTAAATAACTGAAATTCGGAATTAAAAATAACGAATATTAGAAGTAGAGTATATAGTCCATATAGAAATACAATTAGGAAATAACTAAAATTCGGAATTAAAAATAAGGAATATTAGAAGTAGAGTATAGAGACCATATAAAAATACAATTAGGAAATAATAAAAAATCGGAATTAAAAATAAGAAATATTAGAAGTAGAGTATAGAGTCCATATAGAAATACAATTAAGGAAAAAAATTCGGAATTAAAAAATAAAGAATATTAGAAGTAGAGTATAGAGTAATACAACTAAGAAAAAAAGAAATTCGGAATTAAAAAATAAGAAATATTAGAAGTAGAGTATAGAGTCCATGTAGGAATAGCCTCCACGTTCGTTCTTATAGCCTAGAAATTCTCACATTAATCGGAGAAAAAGAAAAGGCAGTGTCCATATAGAAATACAATTTAGAAATAGCTGAAATTCAGAATTAAAAAATAAATAATATTAGAAGAGAAGACTAGAGTTCATATAGAAATACAATTTAGAAATAGTTAAAATTCAGAATTAAAAAATAAGGAATATTAGAAGAGGAGACTAGAGTTCATATAGAAATACAATTAGGAAATATCTGAAATTCGGAATTAAAAATAAGGAATATTAGAAGTAGAGTATATAGTCCATATAGAAATACAATTAGGAAATAACTGAAATTCGAAATTAAAAATAAGGAATATTATAAGTAGAGTATAGAGACCATATAAAAATAAAATTAGGAAATAATATACATTCGGAATTAAAAATAAGGAATATTAGAAGTAGAGTATAGAGTCCATATAGAAATACAATTAAGGAAAATAATAGAAATTCGGAATTAAAAAATAAGAAATATTAGAAGTAGAGTATAGAGTCCATATAGAAATATAATCAAGAAAAAAATAGAAATTTGGAATTAAAAAATAAGAAATATTAGAAGTAGAGTATAGAGTCCATATAGGAATTTAAAACTAAATAAAATTTGAAATAAATATAATAAAATTAAAAGTAGAGTTTAGAGTCCGTATAAAAAAACAATTTACAAATAACTAAAATTCAAAATTAAGAAAAACATGGGAAGAAGGGTTTAAAGTCAATATAGGAATACAATTTAGAAGTAACTGAAATTCGAAATTAAAAATTAAAAGATATTAAAAGATGAGTTTAGAGTCCACATAGAAATACAATTAGAAATAATAAAAATTCAGAAATAAAAATAAATAATATTGGAAGAAGAGCATAGAGTCTATATAGAAATATAATTTACAGAAAATTCGAAATAATAAAATACAATATGAATATTACACATTAGTAGTTTTGTAAAGTTATTGCAAAATTTAAAATTATGTTGTCATTTTAATTTGAATAATATAATAAAAAACATATATGTTATTATATGAGAGAAAATATAATGATACTAGCCGCGCAATCTGCACGGGCCACCATGCTAGTTTATATAAAGGGAGTAAGATTTTGTGGTACGAAGACTAATTCTGATAATTGTTTATTCCCCCAGCTATCAACTCTTAGGGCATCCTTAATGTAGTCTAAAACTAGTCCATAAGCAATAAAATATTCCATTTAGCCACCTAACCATATTGTGGAACTAGTCCATAGTAAGAAAATAGCAAAAGCCACCCATAAGCATATGGGTTGCCCATATAGAATAAAATATGTTATTTATCTCTATTTCCTCTCTCCTCCTAATACTAGTTGCTATCCATATACATTGTGAAAATAACATTAGTTATAGTTGATATATGTGTGTCCCATCTATATAGACTACTTTTGCTATATACATTGGTGGTACTACTAGTTTATTCCTCCAAGTATTACATTTCATACTATATGACTTGTCAATATGTCATTTTTGCTGCTTCCTTAAGTTTTGTAAAAAATAAAATGTAATCTTTTCCTTAAGTTTTGGAATGGAGTGGTATAAGTTCCCCATAATTTGCAGGGAGCACTCTGTTGAAATATTTATTAATGGTTGGTCAAAACAAACAAACAGTGACTAAACAATTGATACACACGAGATTAATTAGTAGCTGTCCCGCCTATACATTAACTTTGGCTCACCTCAATCTTACATGCCCTGGACCAACCATAGGTGTACAACAGTACAAGATGATGAGCCATGCTTTACTGCATGTGGAATACATGAATTATTATATCATAGATGATAAATATTATGGAATAATCACTACTACAGATAAGGTTTTTCCATACGGCTGAGAACCATCTTTCCATGCGGTAAAAATCACCCTTTTTGCATGCGGCCGGCGCAACCGCATGCGGTTGCTTATACCAGCCGCATGCGAAAATAAATTGAGCAAACAAAAAAAAATGAAATCGAAAAAACCCCAAACCAAACCCTAGCCCGCCACCGGAGCGCCGCATCCATGCCGCACGCCGTCGCCGGCGGCGGATCCATCGCTCCCGCCACCCCCTGCCATCGCCGGCGTCGGATCCGTCGGTGGCGGCACCGGATCCGTCACCCCCACCGCTCGGCGTCGTCGTCGGCGGCGCATCCGTCGCCCCCGTCGCCCAGCGTCGTCACCGGCGGCGGATCCATCGCCCCCGCCACCCATTGTCGTCACCGGTGCCGGATCCGTCGGCGGCGGCATCAGATCCGTCGCCCCCGCCGCGGCCGTCGTCGTTGTCGGCCGCCGAGCCGAGGTTGCCAAGCCGCCGCCGCGACCCCGCTGCGAGCCCGCCGCCGCCGTAGCCGCTCCCGCCGCCCACCGTCGCTGCTCCCACCGCGGCCGTCGTCGTCCGCGGCGGATCCGTCGCCCCCGCCGCCCAGCGTCGTCGCCGGCGGCGGATCCATCGCCCCCGCCACCCATCGTCGTCACCGGTGCCGGATCCGTCGGCGGCGGCATCGGATCCGTCGCCCCCGCCGCGGCCGTCGTCGTTGTCGGCCGCCGAGCCGCCGCCGCCGCCGTAGCCGCTCCCGCCGCCCGCCGTCGCCGCTCCCACCGCGGCCGTCGTCGTTGTCGGCCGCCGAGCCGAGGAAGCCGAGCCGCCGCCGCCCGCCGCCCGCTGCTCGACGCCGCCTACCGCCCGCTGCTCGGCGCCCCCTCGTTGGCCACGCGCAAAGGAGAGAAAGAGAGAGAGGAAGAGAAAGAGAGTGAGAGAGGAAGAGAAAGAAAAAGAGAGGGGTGAAGATATCAGAGAGAGGAGAGAGAGAGGAGAGGAGGGGAGATGAAAATTTTTGAAGTGGTGAGGAGGGAAAAAACTGAAAAAACTGTTGATATTTTTGCATGTAGACCACTTAAGGAGCCGCATGCAAAAATCTATTTTTGCATGCGGCTCCTTAAGTGGTCCGCATGTAAAAATAATCATTAAAAAATTAATTAAAAATGTGAGAACTTCAAATCAAATTTTATGGTCTTATATAAACTCATATGAAAAAGTTGCCAAAAATAAAGTTGTAGAAGTCATTGAGATCTAACAATTTTCTTTTGGTCATTTCTCCATCCAAGTTTGATTGAACTATATAAAATTTAAATTTTAAAATATAAGAAATTCAAATAGTTTTTTAGGTAGTAAATGATTTCAAATGGAAAATTTATCAAAAACAAAGTTGTATAACTTATCAAGATCTACAACTTTTGTATTGGTCATTTTTCTATATGACTTTGTTTGAACAGTCTGAATTTGAATTTCAAATTATAACAACTTCAAACAACATTTTCATTTTCAGATACTAAATGATTTCAGCTGAAAAAGTTGTCAATAACAAATTGGTGTAACTCATTAATATCTATAACTTTTATTTTAGTCATTTATTCATCCGACAAAGTGATTTGTAAGATTATTCAAAGAATGTACATATCTATTATATAGTTTTATAAACTATAAGAGAGAGATGTAAATTTTGTGAAAATGTTAGTATCACTTTGTCAAATGAAGAAATGACCAAAATAGAAATTATAGATCTTGATGAGTTATACAACTTTGTTGTTGTTGACTTTTTCAGCTGAAATCGTTTATTGCTTCATAATTTTATTTGAAGATTTGAAATTTAAATTTTAAATTGATAAAACAAAGTCACAAGAAAAAATGGCCTAAATAATAACAGTAAGAACACAATAACATGATAGAGCATGATTTTAGAAACATTTAGGAAAAAGAATCATCCAATTTGGAGTTTGTATGAGTGAGATACACTAGTTTCAAATTTTCAAATTTTTCAAATTTTATTTTCGCATGCGGGCGCTTAAGTGAGCCGCATGGAAAAATCGATTTTTCCGAGCCACATGCAAAAATGACATCATTTTTGCATGCGGACCTCTTAAGAGACCCGTATGGGAAAATCGATTTTTCCATACGGGCTTCTTAAGGAGCCGTTTGCGAAAATGCCGCGCGATTTTTGCAGGCATCACTAGTTATGGTCCGTTTGCGAAAATCATGGGGTCTCGTACAGAAAAATCACTTTTGTAGTAGTGAATGATATATATATATATATATATATATATATATATATATATATATATATATATATATATATATATATAAGTTGAAATATGAAAATGATGAATTGCATGCTTATATCTTAAACTCTACAATGTATTCCCTCTGTTTTAAAATATTAGGCATATTTTCACAATTTCTCTATTAGAATGTAACTTTTTTGAAACGAAATTGATAGCATTTCATTCATGTTTAAAAGTACTTTCATATTATTATAATATTTAAGTTATGTAAATAATATATTAGTAAAGCAATTGTTATTCAAATTTTTGTCCTTACAAAATAAAACATGTTTTATATTTTCAAACATAAGAAGTAATAAATTATAATGATGTGACATGCTTACGTGTTAAGCTTTAGATGCAACAATTGCTAGTGGGTTGTAAATGTATAGGGTGTTCAGAAAGTACATATTGGACTTTATAGCCCTATATGTTTGGCTTTGACATCCAATCTTATATACCCCCAAACTTCAGGGTTACAAAAGCATATAATGATAGCCCGAAAAATAGTTGAATACTTAACCCCAAAAATAATTCTTGTTCACCCACCATAGATTAATAGCATTTCAAAATACAAGCAATTAATTCATTTTGAAGTTTCTTAAAATCCCTCTTCAATGTTTTGAAAGTCCTAATATATAGTTAAAAGTTTCAAAGTTAATTGAATGTTTATCTGTCTTATCCTTGAGGTTCTTGCCATCTGCGTCCCACAGACATGTTGACCTCTGCTCCTACTGAAATTCGTGGCCGTGGCCAATAAAGAACCACACGCCAAGGCTATGTTTCACTCCATTCATCCTAAAATATAGTACTCCTAGCTATTTCTAGCTTATTTTAGAGGAATTAAGGAATGAGATAAAAGGGCCGCAATATCCTTCACTAATGCATGGAAAACTTGGAGGGAGTAGGATTGTTGGTGGTTGTGAGGTATAACAGCATAGATAGCACCAAAAGAGCTAGAAATAGCTATATATTGTAGAACAAATTTGATTTATAGAAATAGCTGTACTTTGAGACAGAGGAAGTAGTACATAGTCTGGGGTCCAACACTACGGGCTGCTTGTATTCAAAAGAGAATTATTCCAAAGTGCGAACGATGATAACCAACAAATTATATCAGTGCTAAATCAGATGATGTCATAGTAAATGCAATAAAACTTGTATATCATTGACCATTATTACAAATTAAGTAGTTGATTAGTAATATGATTTTTGGATTGTTTGAACAGGCATTTCAAGAAGCTTTTACAAATAATAGAAACATGTTTGAAGTACAAGAATTTCAGAGGAACGGAGACTCGTATGAAGAAACATTTAGATATATTTTTGAAGGGGATGAGCAGGAAGAACAGGCATTTCAGAATGATGGAAACTTGTTCAAAGAACAGTCAGTTCAAAATAATGGAAACTCAATGGAAGTACAGATTTGTGAGAATAATGGAAATTCATGTGAAGAACAGATATTTCAGAATAACAGAAATTACTTTCAAGGAGAGGCATCTCAGAATGATGGAAATTCGATCAAAGAACAGTCAGGTTATGGAAACTCATGTGAAGAAAAGACATTTCAGAGTAACAGAAATTACTTTCAAGGACAGGCATTTCAGAATGATGGAAACTCGTTCAAAGAACAGTCGGTTCAAAATAATGGAAACTCAATCGAAGAACAGATATGTGAGAATAATGGAAACTCATGCGAAGTACAGATATTTCAGAATAACAAAGATTACTTTCAAGGACAGGCATCTCAGAATACTGAAAAGTCATTCATAGAACAGGCATTTCAGAATAATGGAAATTCATTTGAACAAACATTTCAGTGGTTTTCTGAAACGAACAAACAGGAAGAACATGAGTTTGAGAATAATGGAAGCCCGTTTGAAGAATATGTATTTCCAAATATGAGTAGCTGGTTTCAAAAACATGTATCCCTGAACTGTGAAAACTTGTATGAAGAAAAATCATTTCAGAATAGTGAAAACCCGTTTGAAGAATTGGTACTTCTGAATAAAAAAGACCTATTGGAAGAACTGGAATCTCAGAATAATAATAACTTGTCTGAAGAAAAGACGCTTCAAAATATCAAACACAGCATGTCTCGGGACGACCCAAATGTAAAAGCTATCTTATCCAGGAGTGGAGGACTTCCCCAAGTAATAGTTGCTTTAGCCAGATACTGGGCCAACCAATATATGTCTAATATAGAAGACAAAAGGGAAAGGGAATGGCAGTGTCAGTATCTTATAGCCAACTTTATGCAAGAGTTACAGACCAGCCAAGAATTTTACTGTTTACGGGGCCTATTCGCCTGGATGCATTCCTACTTTTGCTCTTGTCCTCCATCACTCATGAGATCCATGTTATATCTCTTAATTTTTCCTCAAGGCAAAACCTTTCGGCGAAGGCGTTTGGTGAGGCGATGGATCGCGGAGGGCTATGCCAGTGGCTCTGAAAGCAATAGCTTGGAGGAAATGGGGGAGCTCTTCCACAAGCTTTCCTCCCAGAGTGTGATCAGGCAGGCAACTATGGATGGCTGTTACGAGTTCAATGGCTTCTTCCACGAGTACATGATCTCGCGGCCAGTGGAAGAAAGAATTTTGTTGCCACTAGAAGTCTCTGTACTGGAGGGCTATTGCTGGAGACTAACCACAAAAGGCGACATAGGACAACACAGGGGCGAAGCCACTTTGGGCGGCCTGGGTGCCCAGGCACCCCCCGGATTCCTAAAATTTCTTAGAGATGAACAAATTTTGGCCCTTTAGGCACCCCTACAGCCCAATAGGAGGCACCCCCACCAGACCTTGAATCCCACGATGCCACTTATTCAGCCCACGACGCATCAGCTGCCCAACTCTTTTTCTCCTCACGACGACTTCGCGAGACGTGCCGTATACACCGACGCAGCGACGCATCGACTGCCTGCCCTTCCTCCCGACTCCCGAGTCGCGACGCCGACGCCCGGAGCGAGCCGCTGCCCACGAAGACAGGACTGCACGAAGACGAAGCCGCTGCCCACTAAGACGCATCAGCTGCGCGTGCGACGATCGTGGCTGCCTGCCTGCCTCGCCGGCGTTCGACTTCGACGATCGACGTTCATCTGATCATCTCGCCGATCTCGTCCTCGTCAGCGTCAAAGACTCAAAGAGCCGCTGCCTGCTGCTCGACCAACTAGAGTGAGTGTTCGTCCTCTGTCCTCAAGGATCATCTCGCCGATTATGTGTTAGCTATACTATTTGCTTGAACATCACAAAAGACATTATAGTCTTGATAAAGTTAGGCACCCCCCACCCATTTGCTCTAGCTTCGCCACTGGGACAACACCTAGCCATTTGGAACAGCTGGGACAGGAACAAGACTCTGTTCGACAGCCTGGACTTGTTGAGGCTACGGTCTTTAACGGTGTTTGGTCCATGGGAGTCATTCTTCATCTCCAACAAGATGGGAGTGCTTCGTGTGCTCGACCTGGAGGATGCATGCGATGTAACTGATGTTGATGTCGAGAATATTGGGAAGGTGCTACATCGCCTCAAGTTCCTATCCCTAAGAGGACACAAAATCACTTATCTGCCGGATTCCTTCGGTGGGCTGAGGCACCTCCAGACTCTTGATATCAGATGCACCTCCATTATCAATCTTCCAACAAGCATCACCAAGCTAAAGAAGCTGCAGTATGTTCGTGCAGGTAACCCTGTACCTGTACCACTGGATGATGATACCAGTACTGATGGAATCCTACGATTACGACCACCGCCACCAGAAGCAGCATCAGCAACAGCTTCCCCATCATTATCAGAACCGTCGACGTCAATGAGCAGGCCACATGCTGCGCTTTTGTAGAGGCATTTTGCAAATTGCCTCTAAGATCAGGAGTTTTATAGCGTAGAGACACTTTATAGAGGCACTTTCAAAATTGTCTAGAAAATTTTTACTCTAGAGACACTTTAGAAATATTTTCAGCGCATTTTATTATATTTTATCTTGTAGAGGCATTCTTTCGGCACTTTAAAATGTGTCTAACATGTAAAGACATTTGCTTGAGACACTTTAAACTCTGTAGAGACACTTCTTACAAAAAAAAATATACTAAATGGCTAAATATAAGTAGCTTAAGGCATAAACATATACAACGAATGACATGAGGTTGAGTTGGTTAGTGCCTTGAAGATAAGAATGATTTGATCAAGAAATCACGAGTTCAAGGATTGGCAAAAACAAGGGAAAATATTTTATTCTCATTTTTACATTGGTTTCATATGGTTGTGGTACAATTTAATGTCTCTAGAAAATGCCTCTACCACCTTATAGACATTTTATAAAATGCCTCTTCGTTTATAGAGACAATTCACCATAAGACACTTATTAGACATTTTTAAAAATGCCTCTATAGTATTGTAAAGGCATTTGAAAAGTGTCTCTATAGTACTAGAAAAATGTCTCTACAAAGCATTTTTGTTGTAGTGATGCAACTGCGGTGTCCCGTTTATTCGAGTTGCGGGAGACGTGGACAAGCCGGCACCGCGGCCAGCAGCCTGCTGTTGCTGGCACCTGCAATGGTGGAATTGTGGTGCCCAGAGGGATTCGAAAAATGACGACCTTACACACTCTGGGTGTCATCGACGTCAGTGTTGCAAAGAAGGGCCGAGCTATTCTGGAAGAGCTCAAGAACCTTACCCAATTGCGCAAGCTTGGAGTATCTGGCATCAGCCGGAGAAACTGTCGGGAGTTTTGTTCTGCCATCTCTGGTCACGCCCACTTGGAATCCTTGTCGGTGCATCTCAATAAGGAGAACAATCGAGGCTGTTTGGATGCTATCTCCAAGCCTCCAGAGAACCTAAAGAGCCTTAAGCTGTACGGGTATGCAGACGACAAGCTGCCAGAGTGGATCACGCTGCTGCGGAAGCTCAGTAAATTGAATCTACAGATGGCCATGTTGCCGTCAGGTGATGGGCTCCAGTTCCACTCAGGCTTCGACAGTCTCGTGATACTCAAGATTTCCTGCAGCCCCAGTTTACAGGCCGTAACGTTTCACTCTGGAGTAATGCCTAGTCTTGAGTGTCTGAAGCTCCGTTGCTGTAATGTCTCATCGTTGAGGCTCTCTGGATTAGAAGCACTAACCGGTCTCAAGGAAGTCTGGTTCGGTGGATCCTATAGAGAAGCATTCAAGCGAGAGCTGAAGAGACAGATTGGCCAGCTTCCCAGGGAAATGAAACCTGTCTTGAAGGAGGAGCAACGCTTGCCCTGAATCCTGATTGGGGTGCACTGCACGCAGCTATGCGTGATAGTCGTCGCCTCTACTGTCCCAGGAGCACCCACAGGATTACACGAGTGCTGTTGTTCACTTCCTTTTCACTACGACTCTGTCCAGCCTAGCTTCTCGACCACTGGAATAGGGATAGTTGTGTATCCAGCGCACATCTCTAGCTGTAATTGTTGTTAGTTGATCTGTTGATGTCACTGAACACTGAAATGCTATGTTCCATGCATGCCCCTTTTCATTTCATTGTATGGATGAAATGGACTGCATATTGCCTGGATTAGCAGGTGGATTGATTATACACCGTAGTATGTACAGCACAGCACATTCATTCTACAGTCTGAACTTACTGCGCACCTGGAAATGGCACATTGCTATGGCAATTCTATGATCGACCTTAGTACTTCTCTATCGAGGGCATTGCTGATAACCAAATGATTGTGGACAAATCCTGTCTGGGGAGCTCATCTCTTGCTTCATCAGTGGGACTTCACAGGATTTGTGCAGGAGAGACGTCGTGGCTAATGTCATCACTACTTGTGAGACCCCTTGATTTTTGCAAACGGAGCATAACTAGCGGCGTCTTTGCATGCGTCCCCTTAAGTGGCCCGTACGGAAAAATCGATTTTCCCATACGGGTCTTTTAAGAGGACCGCATGTAAAAATGACACTTAAGCGCCCGTATGGAAAAATTATTTTTTTTTATACTGGCCACTTAAGAAGCCGTATGCAAAAATAAAATTTCAAAAATTTAAAACTATGAACTCCAAATTAGATGATTCTTTTTTCTAAATATTTCTAAAATCATGCTCTATCATGTTATTGTGTTCTTGCTGCTATTATTTTGGTTATTTTTTCTTGTGACTTTGTTTTATCAATTAAAATTTTAAATTTCAAAACTTTAAATAATATTTTGAACCAGTAATTGATTTCAACTGAAAAAGTCATCACCAACAAAGTTGTATAACTCATCAAGATCTATAACTTCTATTTTAGTCATTTCTTCATCCGACAAGGTTATTTATAAGATTGTTAATAAAATGTACATCTCTCTTGTAGTTTTATAAACTTTATAAGAGATATGTGCATTTTTGTGAACAATTTTATAAATCACTTTATCGGATGAAGAAATGACCAAAATAAAAGTTATAGATCTTGATGAGTTCTACAACTTTGTTATTGATGACTTTTTCAGATGAAATCATTTAGTATTTGAAAATGTTGTTTGAAGTTGTCATAATTTGAAATTCAAATTCAAACTGTTCAAACAAAGTCATATAGAAAAATGACCAAAACAAAAGTTGTAGATCTTGGTAAGTTATACAACTTTGTTGTTTAAAACTTTTCCATTTGAAATCATTTATTGCTTTAAAATATTATTTGACTTTCTTATATTTTAAAATTTAAATTTTATATAGCTCAATCAACCTCGGATGGAAAAATGACCAAAAGAAAATTGGTAGATCTCCACGAGTTGTACAACTTTGTTTTTGATAACTTTTTCATATGAGTTCATTTAATATGATAAATTTTGATTCGAAGTTTTGATATTTTAAAATTAATTGTTTTTCCCTCCTCATCCCTTCAAATTTTTTCATCACCCCTTCTCACTCCCCTGTCTAGATACTTTTACCACCACACACTCTCTCTCTCTCTCTTTCTATCCTTTCCCCTCACTCTCTCTTTCTTTCCAACTCTCTTTCTCTCCTCTCCACTCCTCCTCGAGCACGGCGGTGGCTAGGGCGGCTTGGCCCGGAGCTAGCGGCGGTGGCGACCTCGGGCGGCGGCGCCACCGCCATCTCCTCCTCACCGCCGCCGCCGCCGACGAGGAGGAGGTGACGGGCCAGATCCGGCGGCAGGCGACCTCGGGCGACTTGAGGCAGCGACCTCGGGCGGCGACGCCACCGCCATCTCCTCCTCACCGCCGCCGCCAACGACGACGAGGAGGCGATGGGCCAGATCCGGCCGCGCCGGTCCTCGTCTCGCCCGGATCCGGAGGCAGCGGGCCTCGTCCTGCCCGGATCCGACGGCGACCTTGGGCGAAGAGTGCCGCGGCGACCTCGGGAGGCGGGAGCGGCTGGCAGTGGAAGCGGCAGAGGGCGGCGGCGGCAGCGAGGCGAGCAGCGGCGGGAGCGGGGTGGGCGGCGGCAGCGAGAGCGGGGACGGGCGGCGGGGGCGGGAACGGGGGTGGGCGGCGGCGGCGGGAGTGGGGGCGAGCGGTGGAGCCGGGAGTGGGGACGGGCGGCGGTGGGAGCGGGAACAGGTGGCGGCAGGAGCAGCCAGCGAGCTCGGGTGGCGGCTAGGGTTTCGTTTTTTCTTATTTTTCGCATGCGGGTGCCCTGGCCGCATGCAAAGATGGCGATCTTTGCCGCATGCGAAAATCGTTGCCGGCCGTATGTAAAAACGTATTCTGTAGTAGTGCATGCTCCTCACACTGAAACATTTTATTTTAATAAAAAAACTATTCTTTCTTGAAAGTAGTGAAAAAACTAATCCCAGCCGTGATAATTACACTGGTGTAACCTCCTTTGGCTAATATACATCTAAAGTATGTAGTGAAATAACTAATCTTTCTCAATACGGTAATATGCCTGCCATGTCATCAAAGAAATACAGACCATATTCAATTTATATTTTCAGCAAGAATCCTAGAGCTGAAGCCATTACAGACACGGCCTAAGGATAGACAAACGCGGCCTTGAATGATTAATAATTTTTGTTTTGTTTGTAGAACACAAAGATATATAATGGACTAAAATGCATTTTTGTTCTCTTCAATGAAAGGGATGTATGGCCTGGCATGTAAAACAATGAGAAAGTGCGGTAACTTCTAAGTAAAAGGGAGCCAAAATTTATTATAGCCAAGTCCATGCAAGCACACCAAGTCATGGCCCTCAATTTGTAACCTATTATTGACAATATTGAGTATTTCCATATAACGGAATAATTTGTTCAGGAGGGGTTCAATTTAGAAGGAGGATCGAATTACAGAATTCGAATCCTGAGGGATTTAACATTTGGCAAGATTTGGGATTCACCCGGATGGATTTAGTCAAGATCTTTGGTAAAAAAAAAAACCTAAATGTACTCAAAGAAACACATGTTCTATTGTGCGGGCTGGGCTAGGCCCTTCAAGGACGAAAACCAGACTTTTCCGTGAATTCTTTTAAAATAAACTCTTTTTACGATTTTAGTTTGTAATAGGGTTTAGATGGCAAATTCCCACTAGCCTTTATTTGTAGAACAAATACAAAAGATTATTTCTTAAAAAGGATTTTCATATATTAATTAATATTAGATTTTGTTTATAAAATAACTTCCTCCAGGAATTATCCCTGAAGGGGGTTTTCTTTAAAGATTCAGTAATTGTAGACATTCGTAAAACAAATACCCAAAAGGGGTTCTAAATTATAGAAAAAGAGTTTTTAGGAAGATAATTTATATTTACAAATATTTTATTATTTTATAATCATGGTTCCTTTAGTAAATAATATTTTAATCCAAATTAGATTTTAATTTCCGTCCTTGTGGTCAAGCACAACAGAAAAAAGAAAGTAAGATACAATAAAGAAATTTGGAAAAAGATTTTTGACTATTCCGAATTTTTTTCATATTTCAAATTCAAAATTTTCAGGTGTTACAGGTCCCCACGCGCCTTGTGAGTTGCGAATGGCTGAGGCCAATCACCGGTCGGACACACGCTGCCCGTGCCACAAGAAAACTCGGTGCTAGACCTCAAATCTTTAGAAACAGATCTCCTGAAATAACTGTACATGCAGTTATGTCACTTATAAATTGATCTCACTTTACTATAATTCACATGTAAATATCTCAACTGCGTAGTAGTTAAGTTAAAGTATCCTGTTCCTAAAATGTTGTATTTCGTTCATAGTACAAACTCAACACTTTTGAAACCCAGGTCAAGGGTGAAGACATCACTATTAGAAAAATCGTTTTTTCAGGCGGCCCAAAACAGTTTTCACAGACAGAGAGAAGGACCGTCGGTTCACTGTCGCCTGTCCTCCATCGCCTTCAGCCGCGCCTCCTCTGGCTCCGGTTGACCATCCAGCAGGTCGGACCGGCCGCTGGGAACACAGTGACGGAGGAGGAGGAAGACGAGGGATGTAATGGCTAGCAGCACGAAGGCGGCGAGCATGAGGAAGTACCCGAGGACGACGTAGGACGCCGCGAGCACCGCGCAGGCAAGCAAGCAGAGCGAGAGGGCGCTGGTTATCCTGATCGCGGCGACTAGGAAGAACCACCGGTTGGCTGTGGCGGCGACGTTCACGGCCCTCTTCGACAACGTCATCGCCGACATGCCGACGATGGCGGTGGAGAACATGAAGAAGATGGAGACGTAGATGGCCGTGAACCTGGTGGTTGCGCTCACTAGAACAGATACCATCATCTCAATCGGGCGGCAACCCCCATCTCAATCGGGCATGGCGTCCGTTACAGGCTAGAAGTCACTGATGTGAAAAGTTATCTCAATAGGGTAAACGGCCGTCACAGATGAACCTATCTCAATTGGGCCATAATTAAAGCCCGTCACCGATAGTTTTGACCCAGACGATCAGTCAAACTATAGCCCGTCACGGATGACCTATCTCAATCGGGTCTAAACTATAGCCCATCACAGATGACCCTTATCTGTGACGGGCATTAACTATAGCCCGTCACAAATGAGTCATCTCAATCGGGCCTAAGTTAATGCCCGTCACAAATGAGTCGTCTCAATCGGGCCTAAGTTAATGCCCGTCACAGATGAGTATAATCCTAAAAAAAATAAATTTTATTTTTAGGCATGCCGTCTAGCCTCTCTCAGGCCAGTCTTTTTTGTCCTTACTCGTGTGCACCTGGGAAGAACTTCCCCCTATCTCAATCGGGCCATAATTAAAGCCCGTCACCGATAGCTTTGACCCAGACGATCAGTCAAACTATAGCCTGTCACGGATGACCTATCTCAATCAGGCCTAAACTATAGCCCG